CCGCCTGGGCGCCCGCGCGCATCGGCGCCTCGGCGAGAGCGGGCTCCGATGCAGCCTTGTCGTGGGCCTCCGACGCCTGCTCCTGGGCCCGCTGGGAGCCACCCCACGTGCACTCCTGCTCGAAGTGAACCTCCCTCGTGGGGCCCGCGGAGCCGATCCTGCTGCGCAACACCTGGCTGCGTGCGCCCGTCGTGCTTGACAGCGTACTCCGACGGGTCGCTGCCAAGAGGCTCATCATCTGCAGCCTCGTCATCATCATCATCATCATCATCATCATCATCATCATCATCATCATCATCATCATCATCATCATCATCATCATCATCATCATCATCATCATCACCGTCATCATTATCATCACCATCATCATCACCACCATTGGCCGGGCCCCTCTCGCACTCCACCCCCTTCACCGCCGTGGTCGGCGGGCAGGCGCTGGGCGCCTACGGGCCGCCATCCCGCCCGAGCTCCAGACGCCTCCACTGCCACCACTGCGCGCAGGAGGCGAGGAGTGGAGGAACCGCCTCAGGCGCCGACCGCGCACGATCCGCCAGGACGAAGGCAGTGCCGCGGATCGCGGCCCTCCCCCGCCTCGCAGCCGTTTTCCATGCTGTGCACGTGGCGGGCCCCGCTGCCTCCGTCGCCTTGAGCGCCCGTGCGCTCGCCGACGCGGCGGCCGACGCCGTCGGTCCTTCCCGCGTGGGCCGACGTCCGCGCCTCCGCCGCCGCCTGACCGATGCTTGTTTGGCGGGGCTCGACGCCGCGCCAACGCCAGCGCCCAGGTTCGCGTCCGGGCACTCCTCGTACTCGCCCTCGTTCTGCACATCGCTCGGCTCGACGTGCTGGGTGCCGAGGGGCGCCTGCACCTCGCCCGAGCCGAGACCGTCCTCGCCCGCGCAGGCGTCGCCGAGGGTGTCGTCGTCGACGCGCCTGGAAGCATCGTCCTTTGCTCCGTCGCCAGCGCACTCGCCGAGCTCGGGCTTGGACCCCAAACTGACCTCATCGGGCCCGCGATCGCTATCGTAGCCCTCGAGCCCGTCGTCGCCGACGCCGTACTTGATCTCGTACTGGTTGTGCAG